TCTGGTTGATACTACTTGGGAAACAAAATCTGTAATTATTTTCAGACCCTCTGTAGTTCCAAACTGTCCCTGCAGAAAGTCATGCAGATGTAATGACTGTGGGAGCAAAATTATACAGGTAGGTTTTAATTCTGTAGGTTCTGAAACTCATGAAATTTTCTTTATAAATCAGCAACTACGAATACTGATATGTCTCTCTCTACCACTCTCTCTCACAATTTCCTTGAAATACTCTGCAAAATATTTAAAAGTAAGACTTCACCCAGCCTGGTTTGGGCTTCCTGGTGAATACAGGGCTGTGTGATTCTTTTATGGAACTGTCGTATGCAGCTTGCAGGGATAAATTCTCTTTTTTGTCTGTGTCTGGACAGTGAAATCATTCATCAACCTTTCATTCTATGTATGCATCTTTTTCTTCTGGAGATGCATCACTTTAGCAAGGAAAGGTTCATGCAGCAATTAAGCATTTTAGAGATAAATATACCCATGCAGTATATGCCAAAGCAATAAATATGTATCTGGAGCTTTGGCTTGGGTTTCTGATGGCTGTAAATACTGCCACTCCAAGTTGTTTTTAAAGATTGCAGTAAAAGGTTTATGTTCTGTATTTACTAGCATGAGTGACTTGTAATAATGTACTCCAAAGGTGTAGTGCCATGTCCAGCAGTGATTGCTCCAGCAAATGAGTACTCCTCTTCACTAGAGTAATTTGTAATCACGTAACAGCTTGACTTTCAGTCTGGAAAAGCATAGTTTTGTCAGATTGGTTTATGGCATTATATCTCTCACTACATTTTCAGAGGTTATGACAGCTGTTGGTTTTATATTTACTTCCAAATTTTTCTGTACTTTACAAATGTTCCTTCTTTACTGTGAATGTTCTAGATGCTTTTGAGGTGTTCTTTCCTTTTAAAAAAATCAACAAAACAATAATTTGTATTATGATATGAATTATTTTCTTTTTTTCATAACCAGATTTAAAAGACTTTTTTCTTACTTGATTTAAGAGTTTCTCCTTCTGTTTTATCTCAGTGGTTACAATAATTTTGCTGGACACCTCCAGAGTTGGAGGAAGGTGGGAGTTGCTTGTTTGTTTGTTTGTTTGTTTTGTGGTTTTGTTATTATTGGTTTTTGTGGGGTTTTTAGCAGGTTTTTTTGGTTGGTTGGTTGTCTGGGGGTTTGGCGTGTTTTTGTAAGAATTTTCCATGCTATTTTATGGGCTGATTGATTTTTTGTGACCAAATACTGCCCTCTGAAGCATATGCAGGATAGGGATTGCCTTCCTTAGTGTTTTTTGGTTGCATCTTGAAAAGGAGCAGGCATTTCCAGAATCAGTGCATCATAAGTTATAATTTGACTCCTGGAAGGGGAAGGATTAAAGACCAGAAACTCTTCTTCCTAAAGAGGAGGTGACTCAAGAAAAAGAATAAAAATCTGAATGATGGGAGAAAATCAATGAAATTAAGAGTTAGGGCAGTAAAAAGAAACCTCTCAACCCAAAGTAAATTTCGGAGCAGAAATAAACACTGGAACTCAATGCCACATTATACTGATAACAGAAATGCAAATGAGTTTAAAAAACAATTCAACACAGTTATGAAAAAAATATTCACATGGATACAATTGTTGATAGCTGAAATTTTTTAAGCTGGAGGAGAACACAGCTTGGAGCTGTGAGAGGAGGATGAGAGCAGACACTTATGTTGCACGGGATATCAGGATTTTGGGGACAGGTTTTGTGCAACTGTGGCTGTAGATAGGGAAAACATTACTAATTAACCAGTGCCACTGATAAGACCTACTGTCAGATTTCACAACTTCTGGAGCAGACAAGCAGAGGGAAGCCTTGCTTACAGAAGAGAGTTCACACACACACACACCCAGAGATGCAGTGCATTAAACTCTTCAGGTGATCAAGGGAACCCCTCACTCTGAAACTCAGTTTGCCTCTGCAGTGTTTGCAGTTTGTGCACCTTTGACAAACACTGCACTCATTTACAGCTTCTGCTGAATTCTGCCACTTCTGTTCTTACTAAAGTGATGCATCTCCAGTCTTTTATTTCTCACCTTAGCTCTCACACTTTTTTTGTTTTTATCCTGTTTGATGTAACGCCTCTTGTTTCCTGAGCAGGATTGTGCGTATTTAGACTCATTTGCCTTTATGGCTTTGTGCTTTGACTCCTGAGTTGTTTCTGGACCACAAGCAAACCTGAAGATATAATGGAAAATTCTTAATCATTGCTGTAAAATTTTTAGTTCATGCACCTGTAGATGTTGGTTTTATTTTCCAAATGCTGAGATTTGGGGTTTCCTCATGAGTAGTCTTTTATAACAAATGACTGCAGCTCAGATTATGAGTTTTAAATTTAATTAATGTTTTTTTCTGGCAGTACCAATTGAAAATCATAGCTGATATCATGCCTTCTTTAAATTAGTGGAACAATGACTCTGCCTAGATAGAAATTCTGTACTGTTAAGTTTGCCAAGTATTTGAAAGACAACTGTAAGACTTCTCTGTTACATAGTTTTTAAAAAGCAACTTATCTTTGTTGGTCTCTAATATAATTACTATCTGTAGTACTATTAAGGATGTTTAAATGCTATCAGATTTCAGCATAAAGTGATGTGACAGTCCATTTTCTGTAGTCCTATTTGTTTTTAAATACTTGAGTTTTGTATATTTTAATTTGTTTACAAGGTGCCCCAGGTAACTATTTTGTACAGTGTGTGGTTTTGCTGATGAATTATAAGATTAGCACAAATTCCAGATACATTTTTCTTAATGAGAGTATCTTTCTAGTTTGATACCAAGATCTGTTTTTAATTAGTTAAGGCAATGCAAAATAAATAAATTCAACATACTCATATATCACATTCATTGCTAGTATTAATAGGGTAAATAAGGAGCTGACTAGAAAATAAGAGAGTTCATGCTTTAAAAAAAACTACAAAAAAAACTACAAAAAACCTTCTTTTCTTTTTTTATGTCTACAGTTTAAATTAAGGAGCTGACTAGGAAATAAGAGAATCCATGCTTTAAAAAAACAAAACAAAACAAAACAAAAAACAACTTTTTTTTTTTTTTATGTCTACAGTTTAAATTAAGGTTCCATCCTTCCCTGAAAGCTGACCATTAAAGGAAAACTTTCTGTGTGCTAAGTATGCCAAACAACTGGAACACAGGAATAATCTGCCTATGAATAATAGCTACCCTATCCTTCCCAAGACCTTTAATTTGTGACCTTTAAAGAGGTGTGACTGATACCAAGGATGGGACTAGTTTAGTGACAGCTCTGAAACATTTATTTTCCCCAAGCAGAAAATGGACATTTCAATAACTGCTTATAAAATGCGTGTTCATATAATTTGGACAGTCTGGCAACAAACAGGTGGGGTATACAGGCATGTTTGGTGCTGAAGATGAAGAAAAGGAGATGAAAGAAAGGCCAAGCCCTCCTGGTGAAAGAAAGTTAAAGACCCTGTAGCCTCAAGTGAACCTATTCCACAACACACTGAGCACAGTCCTAGTTTGAGCAGTGCCTTTTCCTTTGGGTTATTTTAACTCTCTGCTGTGAAGAATTTCTTCTGACATTTCTATCCTCTTTGAAAAGTATTTCTTAGCTGAATTTCCTTTTTACAAGTCTCTGAGTTTTTTGTGAATTACATCACTGCTTACAGCTTTGCTGGGCCTCAGAGGTTCTTTTGCAACAAAGGCAAGCACTCCTCAGCATTGTACAAGCTGTAGAGCACAAACATGCATTGAATACTGCAACTCATCTGACCACTGTGGATTGATCCTGCAGGGTTTTGGTCAAGAAAATGGAGAATAGTACCAGAGATTCCTCTGATTGAAAAATAAGGATCTTCCCCTTGTACAGTGTTATGACCCATCCACTGGGCAAATCATCCCTTTGTTTTATAGATTTCATCCTCTGTTTTTCTTAATATACTCTTCCAAACTTTCTATTTTGATTACCAGCGACTTCTTTTGTTGCTAGCTGCTATATTTTTTCAAAAAGGGCAAGTTGTTGTAAAATGTGGGCTTGTGTTGCGCCTTCGCAAACTGTGGGTTGATTCTGAAAAGATCAGATCCTATTACTGTGTAGCTACTGTCAGATTTACCAACTTGACCTTATCTCTCTGAATAGGATGGGCTTTGTCATTGCTAAGGAAAAAATCTGCATTTGATTTTGAATTGAAAATCCACAGTGATTATTTCCTAAAATATATCCTCTAGTATAATGATTGCAATTGGTTTGTACCTACACTGTAGCTACTGTAGAGCTTCACCAAAGATATATTTTTGACACTTTTAATTGACTGTTCCTTACACAGCTAAAAATATGTATTTGACTGAAAGTATTTATGACATAAATACCTCAGAATTAAAAATAAAACAACATAATTATGGAAAGGTGTGTGTGAAGCTTGAATTTCAAGGGATGCAAATATTGCAGCCATCTAACTTACTTTTTCATATGTAATAAAACTATAAGTAATAACGTCATAATTGTATGTTCCCTCATCTAACTATACTATGCTGTGAATGCTACTGGGTAAATGTAATTGAAATGTCAGACTTTATATGAGTTTGTGATGTAATATGTAACAGAACACATTAAATGAACAATCAATACAATAAAAATAGTTAATCAGAAAGTAATCTGAATCAACCAAAAGGGTACATAAATCTCCTTTTGCTTGTGTGACACCATACACCCAAAAATAAAAAGGAAAAGAAAGATTGGAGATGTGTTTTAGAGGTAATCTCCTCACCTTGAGTGCCTCCTGGTCATGCTATTTTGTGATGTACATGCCTGAAAGACAAGCTCTGTGGTAAATGTCATCAATGACTTTGACAAACAGAAAGATCTGTAGTTAAAACTCACACAAATAACCCAGAGAATATTGCTCTTGCATGTCACATCAGTTTGGAATAACAATTTACATGGAAAGTTAATGTGCTATTCTATCTAATTTCAGAATTTCTACGTAGACACCACCAAGAAATTGTGCTCAGATCAAGATACTGCTGTTTTGGAATTGCAAGTTAATTGCCAAAATGATTTGGTGCATGGTGAGAATAAGGACATGACTGGGAAAGCTACACTAGAGGAAACTGCTGTGACTAAAGGTCAGTTAAGCTTTATGGTTTGAGTTATTGATATAACAAAGCTTAACCCCAGCCCTAATGAAAATTTGTCATACAGGAGTATCTTGTGTGATTTCACTTGGAATCTGTGGCTTAGTCAAAGAAGGATGAAAAGGGAACCTTTCTGTTCTTCCTCCATAAATGCCATAAGGCAAATTCATCCAAGCTCTCAGCAGCAGCATGGTATTAAACTCTGTTTGACACTGCAGCATGAATATTCAGTGGTTTTAGCAACAGATGATTGGAAAACATGTGCTGTCCTTTCGCTTTAGTGATGCTTACACATAATCTGTTATTAAAAAATAACTATCCTAAAATGTTTTAAGATGAGAAAGACATTTACATTAATGATATTAAGAACAAAATAATACTGAGCAAATTACTTGACCAATAATTATTTTTAAATTTTTTCTCTGTTTGTTTCTATTTCCCATAATTTTGATAGAATGGCTAGTTTTCTACTTATCTTTCAAGTTTTTCCTTTTTTAGAAATGAACCATTCTGAAGTTGAAAAGTTAGATCATAAGAGGACAAATCCAAATTTATTTTATATATTTCAACTTTTAAGTTAATATAAAAAAATTATTTCATTAATCTCTTAGTCACAGGTTATATTTGAAATATGAAAAAATCACATTAATTACAACACTGGAACATTTTGAAGATTAAAGCACAAACATTCATCCTCTTAGCATTTTTTAACTGATAGTTGATATCAATAGAAGAACTTCTTATAAAGTTTCTCTTTCTTTTTCTTGTCATTCAGTGTATAAGACTCTTAAAAAAATTGTCTATTTGAAACTATGTGTACTGAAACTTCCAAAAGATACATAAACCACTTTTCTGGAGAAGAATTACAGTGTAATTTTGAATATTCACTAATCCTTATTGCTGTGGAAATTGATTATTTGGGGACTGATTATTGGAAGTGATGTGGTTTAACCCCTGTCAGCAGCCAAGCCTCACACAGCTGTTTGCTCACTCCCCCACCAGCAGGATGGGGGGGAGAATTGGTAGGGAAAAAGCCAGAAAAGTCGTGGGTTGAGATAAAGACAGGGAAAGCAAAAACCACTCACACAAACGAAAACAAAAAATTAATTCAGGGCTTCCCATGGGCAGGCAGGTGTACAGCCATCTCCAGAACAGCAGGGCCTCATCTTGTGTAACAGTGGTTTGTCGATAACTCCAAATGTCCCCTCCTTCCTCCTTCTATCCCTTTGGTCATTTTGGGTCACCTGTCTGGGCTGTGTCTCCTCCCAAACTCCAGTGCAACCCCAACTTCCCTTGCCAGCCATGGCAGTATGAGAAGCAGAAAAGCCCTTGGCTCCATGCAAGTCCTGCTCATTAAAAAAAAAAAAAAGCCCTTGCACATTGAAAAAAACCTTCATATTATCAAACCTGTGTTCAGCACAAATCCAAAACTGCCCTGTACTAGTCACTGCGAATACAATTAATTCTGCCCCAGCCAAAACCAGCATGATATTTTGGTATCTGGCAGCTTTTAAATAAAATTCCAGATTTGTTATTTTGTGGCTTTGAAAAATCTCTTTTCAAGCTCTGTTTTGTCACTGTTTAATGACTTGATTAGATTTTATAGGGGTAAATGGTGAAGCTTACATGTCAGAAGGTACAAAGGACAGTATTCTCAGTTTAAATCCTACAAAAGAAAAAGAATACCAACAGAGCTTAATGTGGTACTCATTTTTTGTTAAGGGCACTTCCTGTAAATCACTGAGCCTTGTCTTTGAAAACCATTGTCCATGCTACAGGGATTAATTGGATCACTTGCCTGGGTTACTCTGTGGGGTGAGGCAGACATGGGAAACAAGGGGAACACACCTGAAGAATATGTGACCTCTTTAGATAATGCCTCTTTGAGGAAGAAAGCGGACATAACATTTATGCTGAGGACTATCTTATTCACAAGCACAAAAATCAGTGCTTGAGTAGGTGCTTAACTCTATTGGCCTAGACTCCTCGCAGACAGGAAACATCACATAGGCCAAAGTCTCAAAATGCCTTTATGGTGAAGAGTCTTAAAATACTTTCTGAACACAGCTTCTCAATTTGTATGAAAAGTGAAGTCAGAGAGTCGCTTCCTGTGGCTGTTACAGGAACCGTACAGCAGTTTCTAAACTGAGTTCCATTGGCTGAGAAAAGCAGTATGGAGTCATTGTTACTAAAGCTTCAGCTCAATAGCAGGACTGGGAGGTCATTTGGTCTTTCCATTTTTCTACTGTGAAGGTATTTTTTATTGTTTGTGTTTCTTTTGTAACTGGGCACCACTGAGAAGTGTCTACCTCCTTCTTCCTACCTTCCCATCAGGTACTGATGCCCAGTGATAATATCTTCCCAGAGCTTTCTCTTCACCAGGCTGAACAGTCTCAACCCTCTCAACCTCCCCTTCTATTTCTGATGCTTCAGGCACTTGATTGCCTTTGTGAGCCTCTGCTGGATTTGCTCCAGAACATCCATGTCCCTCTTGTACTAGGAGCCCAGATCTGGACCCAACACAGTGGAGGGCTCTCACCAGTGTTGATCAGGGCAACAAGGATCTCTGCTGGTACCACTTTGCCTAATGCAGCCCAAGAGGTGTTGGACAACTTTGTCACAAGGACACATTGCTGGAGCATGGTCAGTTTGTCTTCCAGAACCCCAGTGTTTTCCTTGGCAAAGCTGCTTTCCAGTCATTCCACCCCAAGCCTTGCATTTTCCTTCATTCAACTTCATGGAAGTCCTCTCTGCCCAGTTCTCCAGCCTGTTCAGGTGCTTTTGGATGGCAGCACAACCATCTCAGCTGCTCCTCCCATTGCAAACTTACTAAGGAAACGTGTTCCCGTTGACTGCTCTATTAATGAATCATTGTGTCTGTAGCAGGCACTCACAGCATCACTCATATTAGTTTCTCCATTAAATCCTGACCCAGAAACTCTCAAGAGGCTCTTCACCTGTCCCTAGGCAGAGACCACCCTCTGTTACCCATGGTACCAGCAAGATTTCTTCCTTCTCCTTCATGCTGCTTGTTAGCTCATGCTGTCCATGGTTCTGGACACCAGAAAACAGACTTGGACTTTTTGCAACAGTTCCAGGTTTGGACCTTCTATTAATCATGTTTCAGCACCATGGTGAAATGCTGCAATATCTCTGACTGTCCCAGCTGCCCTGCTTGAAGTCTGTCCACCTTCTCTCTTTTTATTCATCCAGAGATAGTAGCATTAGTCTTTTGTCCACCCCATTAAACCTTATATATATGTAATTGATAAACCTTTTTCAGAATCTCAAAAAACACTTGATTTTTATTATGATTTTTCAGTTTCTAGCACAAGTCTTCTTTTCTTAGCCAATTCTTTGTTTGCTTTTAATGCTGAAACAATCTAATTGAGAAGAATGTTTTTTCTAGGCCTATTTCGGGTTTGAAAATATCTTTTCTTGATTGTTCATGATCTATTTGCTTTGGCCTTTATTCCATCAAGATCCTAATATTTTCTGTGTCATCCCTTCTGAGAAAGCAGAGTTTACTTTTCTTCTGGTTGAGACCCATATATCAGTAGTCATGGTAGACTGATGACTTAACTCCTCCTGCTTCTAGTAGACATATTTTTTTAAACTTTAGCTATCAGTCAGGCTTATTTTTTCCTATGTATTTCCATGAGTTTATGACTGGAGACCTGTGCTTTGCAGGTAGCTTTGGGTGTATGACCAAGAATATTAGAGAAAAATATTGGTGTTAGGGCTGCTGAAGGCTTGCATGAATCTGGTACTGCAAACATTTGCAGCACTAACCCTTCCCATGTGTCTGAGTTCTTGCCATGTATCTGATTCAAAAGCTCATCAGTCACAGGTCTCCTGCCTCATTTCTCATTTCTCATGACAATGGCAGTTAGTTAATTTGAAGTTAATCCTATTCACTCTTTTGTGAATAGCCTGCTTAGGCTATTCACAGAACACCAGGTAAAGGATAGCTTTTGTTACTGAGGATTCCAAAAAAACTCCTAGTACCTCTCTTAGTATGCACACAGAAAATCATGATGTAGCATTATAATGATACTTCTTTTGCAAGACTAGGAAATTGCTTATTATTTAATCGCCTTGAAGTATATTCCTTTACCAATGCTGTCCAAATTGGAGTATAATGTGAGTTTGAGCGAGGCAGATGTATCCCAGTCCAAAGAACAGTGATGGATTGTACACTGACATACCCAAATCAAAGCTAAAGTTTTTTTTATATGTTAGTATAGTCCAAAATTATTTGGCTTGATTGAAAGATAATTGCAGAATTATACAGGAGAATGGATTAGATTATGGAACAATTCTTTCTGGCCAGCCAAGGAATCCCCATGAGTCCACTGCTGCGTGCAGCAAGCTTGCCTGTTCCAGAGGGTGTACTCTGCTCTGCTAATTCAAAAGATAATGGATTAGAAAATATGTCAAGACTAATAACACAGACACACTCCTGTAGGTTTTGAGTGGGAGGAAATGCACCATTCACTGACTAATATTTAAACTTCTACTGATGAATGTTAAGCCACCCTTCAAAGCAACAACCTGTTTCAAATTCCTAATAAGGATGTCGAATCTGTACTCCCAAAAATCCCCCTAGTTACAGAAACAATTTCTATTTCTTACCAAAGGCCTGCAAAGAAAAACATGTTTTTTTCCTCCATTTTAAAGCCTCTGTTGTCTTTCTTTACAGATTAATAAAGATATGATTTATTATCCTTGTTTCTAAGAAATGTTACCTTCTTTCTGTGTTGCAATTAAACCTGAATAGGCCACTAAAGATATTATCTTATTTTCTTATATTTGACTGAGTTTGAATTAATTTTAAATGGTAGCAATACCTGCAGGATAATAACTCTCATCAGAAATCTGCTATATCAGTATTTCTTTATCCTTGAAATTTATTCTAAGTGAAGTTTCTATAACATTATATAATCTTGTTCATGGCATAGGTTTCTGAATAGTTACAGTCCACAACAAAACAGTGTTTATGCTGATTTAGTCCATTGATGTCAGGATATTTTAGAGAAGGTATTTCTATATTCTGCCTTTGAGCACTTGATTTAGGAGGCTAGTGGGCTGGAGAAAGAGAAAGAGGGTTGGGCCCTCCATTTATGCTTTAGGAGGCACATATGTTTACTAAAATTTCAAAGATGGTTTAAGAAACTCCTGCCCCTGTAGCTTGCTGTCCCATTAGTGAAGACAATACGCTTGACTTTGGCACTGTGCTCTGAAAGAAATATTAAAATGAATTAAATATAATAACCCCAAAAACTTAAAGCAAAATGTAGAATTCTGAATTATTTGGAAAAAAAAAAAAAAAGCTGGTCTTTTTTTTTGTGACATCACAGGGATTTTGTATTAGTGTTTTGAGCTCATATGGGAATAAGCATGGGAATAAGCAATATGAATTAGGAATCCTTTCCTGTATGTGTGTGCGACAACTCCCTTCAGCTTCCCCATTCAGCCCAGTCTATGATTAGGGAAAAACTGATATTGTGTTTTCATCTGTAAACACAGAATTTATCTTTGGCTGACACAACTTCTGAGGTAAATTTTAATAAAAGCAAGAAAATTACTAAAAATGTGGAGATCATACCATTTCATAGGATGTGAGTACATTTTAGTAGATAATATTGAAATGTTTTCAATCAGCTTTGCTCTAAACCAAACTAACTTGTTTCACAGCAGGGAGAAGAGAGCACAGGCTGTGAATCCTTCTGATGTCACTGGTTTATTTGATATGACTTATTTTAATTATGGTGATATTCAGAGATTTCAGGCAGGAGCTTAGGTGGTAGCAAGGAAGAGATATGACAGCTTTATATGTAGCTAAACCAAAGGGTACCTCATGTCAGTGCCCTTTCCCACTCTCTGGCAGTGCTGCCTGGCTCTGCTCCTCCAGTCCTGTGCAGAGCAGCACTTGAATATCTCTGATGGTGCCCTGAGCCCTGCTCTGCATCCTCTTGCAGAAACTTATGATGAGGCAAGAAATATGAGATTGTTTAAAATTTTGGCAACTATTTCTCATCTGCAAGAGTTGTTGTTACTCTGGGGATTTATTTTATATGAGGCAGTAGTGAAACTGTGGAAACTAGGTCTCAAAATATTCAATAAAACCAGCAAAACAGACCAGGAAAAAGACTGACAAAAAAAAAAAAAAAAAAAAAAAAAAAAAAAAAANTTAAAATATGTCAACAGTTGTCTATTTCAGGAAATGTAAGATTCTTTTAAAGAAATTCAGACTAATCTTTTCCAAACATTAGTTTAAGAGATTCCAGAGGAAAATAAATATTATTCATACATTAAATGCAACCCTACAGGTTATGTGAAATATTTTGATTGTGGCACATAACAGTTTTTAAAGATATGCTACATTATCACATGAAGTAATGGTTGATGGATATCAGCTCAAGGAACAGTCCATTAGTTTTATGGGCTCTGATTCTTCTATCACTGATCAGCTTTCAGCAGCACTCCCTAAGGAATTAGTTCTCATTAGCACTGAGGAGCATCAGAACCAGGCTCACAGCAAATAAAATGCTGCTGCTCATAAAAATGCTTGGTTTATGCATATACCTTTGGTTCTGTGCATTTTCACTTAAGTGATGTGCAGAAATAAAGATGCGGTTCTACCATGTTGAGTTCATAACATTATTATGCAGAATATTTCACAACTACTTTTTTCAAGTTAAGCATAAGTAAACAATAACTGCTGTGTGATTGAGTGATAATTCATGCAGAGTTAAAACTGATCTGAAATATTTACCATAGCTATAAAACTATGTTATCGTCACACAGCTAGAGGCATTTAGGTGTGCAGAGTTGTACATGCATATGAGTTGGGGACTCTAACTCTTGTTTCTTTCAAGCAAGGGTCTTGGTGTGTTGGGTCACTTCTGTTGCCTACCTTTTGAAGAAGGGCAAAATGAAGACTTATGACAACCGTTTCTGACCTTGAAATTTGTGAAAAACAGCAAGCATATTCCGAGAAAAAGCCAATATATCCTACTCACTCAAAAATACAAGTGAAATTAATGGAAATTTTTAGTCTGCAGAACACTAGCCTTCCCCTATAAAGGCAAATATAATTACACAATTTGTTCCAGGAAGAGCAGAATTAATGAAATTTTATTTAATAAGTATTCAGGACTGTTGTCCCCTACTGCTCCTCTCTGTCTTTCCTGATAATAACTAAAAGTCTCCTAGCAGTGTTCCTATCAAAAGAAAAAGAGCAGGTCTGGAGCTATGTGTGTGTTGAGTGGCCAACCAATATGCACACACTGATTTATCCTGCTGTCTGCTGCCAAATGGAGTGGATAACAGCTGTGTTCTGCATGCTTCTCTTTCAATAGAGGAACTAATTCAACTCAAGCTTAAGTAACCACTGTGAGACTTCTGTCCTCTTTTCAAATCTGACTGAAATTGGCAGAAATAAACTTGTAAAAGTACTGAAGAGATTGATGGATGGATGGACAGCATGATGACATAAGCTTTGTTTTCTTGGCAGGCTGAGATGGTCTATCTGATTCAGTAATTCAGTGTTGAGGCTAATAGATTTTTTTCAAACAGAAGAAAATTGCATTGATTTCAGTGTTCAGAATCCCCCTTGGACTGCTCAGCTTGTCTCATTCACTGCTTAATGCTTCATTGAAGTGTAAATATATACATTTCAGAAGGAACTGTGAACAGGTTTGGGACTGGGGACAGCTGTGATTTAGTCTGGCCTGATGACATCAACGTTCTTTCTCCTTGAGCTGTCTTGCTTAGAAGTGCATTAATTTGTTTACATGTGTTTGGGAAAGAAGAAAGCCTGGCTATGCCATCCATGAGCAATCTGTACCTTATATCCATATTAGCAAGTCTAAGTGCACAAACAATATTTCCCTCGCTGAATCACAGGGATTAGCTTATTCTTTCAGTGCCTGTTTTATTCATTAGCTTGCTTTTACTGATATCAAGCACAGCCAAATTGCAAATTAACTACAAACCAGGAAATGCTTAACAAGATACTGGCCACATGTGAGATATTCCATGCATTTCTAATTATATGTTTGGGGTTTTGTTTTGGGATTCTTTTTCCTTTTGATGCCTAGATCTGGAAATATTTTGCTAATTCAGCAGTGGGGGAGTCATGGCTATATAGGTCTGTGATAAACTCTGCACTGGTGTAGCCAGACAGATACTTGCTTAGCCTCATATTTATTTCCAGCCATAGAAAACCTATAAAGGAAAGAATCACACCTTCAGAAAGAATCACGCCTTCAGTTCTCAGGGAGAGACACCTCAGTCCTGAAGAGTCTCAGAGGAACACAAGTGGGATTTGGAGACTGCTAAGAAATCATAGTTATTCTCCTGTTGAAGGTGGTTGAAAGTGTAAGACTGGGAAGAGCCTTGTTTGAGAAGTTTGGTTTCATAAAGAAGAACCTGTTTGACAAACATGGCTTTCTAGGAGGTCAGATAGTACACTATGATAAGCTGTATCAGGTTGTACCCTAGAAAATTAATCAACTAGCTGTACCCACAACAGTGTTGCACACTGGTTTGCAATTTCAAGTGAAAATTTTGGCTTTAAAAATACAGTATCCTCTCAGCTCCGTGACCTATGAGACTTTCTGATAAACTCTAAGGATGATTTGCCTTGGCAGGGGATCTGTGATGATATCACCACTATCATCTCAGCTCTAGCTGCTCCTATTGCCACCTGGCTCTTGCCCACCACAGGCTGGGCTAAGGGATGGGGTGGCTCTGAGGGGTGAAATGGGGCACTCATGGACCGATCCTTACGGAGTTTAGTTCCATGAGTTCAGTGGGCCCACATGTCTGCCAGAGCTTCCTCTAGCCTCAAGGAAGTGGTGAATCACCCGAGCAGGGGATGAGACCCTGGGGCCTCCTGGCAGCAGCCAGAGCCACTGTGACCTGCACAGTGAAGTTACAGTACCCAGATGCAGAGTAGAGGCCACCACGGTGCTGCAGCCACTAAGAGGCCTCCAGTGAGGATCTCTGCTCTTGTGGGAAAACATTGCTTCTTTCTGAAAAGTTTGCCCTCACAGCTGCCTCAGGCCAGTCTAGGTGGATGTAAAGAAATGCACTTCAAAACCTTTCATTTTAACCTCATGCCATTCTCAACCCTATGTCTCTTTTATATCACCTAAATCACCTGCATCACCTGCTTCTAAATAAGAAGCAGCTGGGGGGTTCTGGCTCTAGGAAATCCCAAGGTAACACCGTGGTTCCCCAGCTGCAGGGCTCCTCTTGACAGGCAATGAAACACAAAAGCAGAGGAGCACATCTGTGGTAAGGATGGTGGTACTCATGGCAGATGGACTGCTCTTCTCTATATATGGTCAGATAATCTTTTCTGCCTGCTTTTATGCTGTTAGTGATTACACCAGCTAAACTTTTCAATAAACTTGAAATTTATTTATGCATAGATAACAGGGAGTGGTCGACTTAGAGGTATAAGCCTATGCAAAAACTGAAATAGGAATTCTGGAGTGAAGACACTCTTATAAAGTGTTCAGCTAATTTTCATTCCTGTTTTGTCACAGATACTGTTCAGGAAACTAAGCAAGTCATTTAGGATCTCTGAAAAATATGAAAGTGAAGAGAACATTATTTTCTTTGCTTTTATGGCTGTCTTTTTGAATTGAAAAATTATTCTTCTCCAGGCCAAGGGCAGAACCTCCCATTTCCTTAGAGTTATTTTTTGCTGATTTTTCAGGCCTAGCAAGAAACAATGAGGCAGAAGAGGAAGAGGAAGAAGAGCATGACTACAGCTATATTGATGAAAACATAATTGAAAATATAAGAAAAGTATTTCACAGCACCAGAAATGAGCATACACTCTCCAAAGGAAGAAGGTAAGCTGGCATCACTTGTAGATACAAACAAGCGCAAGCAGAGTGATTTTTCAGACTGGCCAGTAAACTTTACTTCCCAAAATAAGAGAGGTTTACCCCTGGGAACTTCCACTGTTGCTCCTCTGAGCTGCCACCTGTGACCTCTTAGCCATGTCACCTTTACTAAAGGAGTACCTATCATTGTTCTGGGAATAGAAGACCTGTTTTCTGGTTTGTGCCAATTTGCTCTGAAATTATAGTGCTCTGAATGCAACCCTTTCTCTGTTTCTGGAAGTGGATGCCTTGTTGTGCATGTATGTTTTGATGCTTTAATTGCTTTCAGGCACTAGCTGAGCTTTCATTAAATCTGCAATGTTCTGCTCTGGCAGTCTGTAGTGACTTTAAGTGCCAGTGAAGAGGGCCTTTATTTCTAAAAATCTCTAGGTATCATTTCCAGCTAAACACAGATGAGAATTTTGCTAACTATGAAAGAAACTGTGGATGCAGTTATTTGCACTCATAGCTGAACCATCTATGAATTTCACTTGGTTTGGCTGAATTGTTTCTTTTGTGACGAGAAACCCTTGAAAACACAGGAAAAATTTGAAATACCATGTTTCAGAGATATAATTAAATATAACATCAAAATGTACTTTGTATTTATTTTGAAGTTATGTGCAACATTCATACTGTGTTTAAGTTAAGCAACATAGTGAATATGAAGTAGGCTGGTTTTATTTCTGCAATACTCAAAACACTCAGAAAAATGACGTCCAGGGCAGTGTGTGGCCATGTCTCCCCCTGCTTACAGACACAGAGACTCCAAAGTTACAGAAAAGACTGAGAACGAAATGAAGTAGGATGTTTCAAATAACACATTTCTTCCTCAGTCCACATGCTATTGAGGTTCTATCATGTAAAGAAGCTGAGAAAGAAAATTAATCTCTCTTCTGACTAAAATATCCCTTCTGACCATAGGCATTAAGGGGAAAGCATACTTTCAAGAAGCAATACGAACCAAGAGGATCAGCATCTGTTCATAGCACTTTACTGTTGTGGCATCAGTTCTTCAAAGTCTTTATCCACCTGCCCTTTAAAATCCCTGTTAATGGAAGCAAAGTTTCACTTTATTAGCTGTCTTCTTTAGGATTACTAGAAAACATGAAAGAAAAGGACCTTTGCTGCCTTGAGGGAGACTACTCTCTTTGGATATTTTGGTTTGTAAAGCAATCCCAAAGATTTTTGTCCTTAATAGCTGACAGATAAATCCACTCTCTGAAATCATTAGCTAGCCAAGGAGCATGTGGCTCCTTCAGCCTCCTGGTCTGCCCCAGCCATTAGAAATCTGTGCTATGGCTTTTTTCTAGTACATGAAGTTTCTATCAAGATTCCACACTTGCACTTGTGAGCATTTTGGTAAATAAGGATTTGACACGGGCATATACAATTAATCCTTAATACAGGCAAAAGTCCAAAAGAATATGTAGATAAAATAACCAAATTGGCTGATTTAAACTTATATAGAGGACAATAATGCACCAAAATATGTTGTCTCTTTCTTATAAAACGTATCAAATACCTAATATCTGATCATGATAGTTCTTGAAGAATTCATCAGTTAACCATTTCCCACCTATAGTGCCTCCTTTCCTCAGGACATTTATGCTGTTTATTAATATCTACCTTTAATTATTTGGTATATATGATTTATCAAAATCAAGTCTATTGAGCTAAATGACTTTTAAATAGAATTGTTAGGAGGAAAAATAGTTTTGATGAAATACAGAAGTTAACCTCAGCAGTTAAAAAAAAAAAAAATCAGTATATATTATTTGCAGTCTTTCAGCAGCATCACTCTCAAAATCTTTCCATGATCAGGGCTGAAGCATGCCAGGGTGATATTAGTAGAAAGTTAGTCCCTAAGTCTCCCTCCATCCTAAGCAGGAGAGAGAAATAAAGAACAGAGATTTGCCTCAGGACATTGCTATGTTAATTTTGATAGAATAAATGTGCCCAGAGGGTCAATGATGTTAACATGACCTCATCACTTCAGAACAACAAGCAATTAAGCAAGAGACTTCATTACAGATGCTTGAGCTTGCTATAGCAACGACCATTATTAACATATTTTAACCTTTCATTAAATATTCAAGAGAAAATAAGAAAAAAAAAAAAAAAACACCACCCTGGAAGCATTTAAAATATGTGGCTTTCTTTTCAGCATGACAAATTTCTCTCCTTTTACAACTCAGCCATGAGTTGTTTCTTCTTTTTTAAGGAGGAAAGCTCTCAACAGTCTTTTGGACAGTATTACAAATATCAACAGTGTCTTTTTTGGTAAGAAAATGGGAAGATAAAAGGTCCATTGCAACCACTGAATTGGAATAACTCTGATGCTGCTGTAATGTCTCCTCCTATGGCCCTGACACCAAAAATGAGATGGAGGCATGCAAGAACAGGAACAGTAACAACCACAAAAAATTCAGCAGCAAAACCAGTGAAAGGCAGAGTCTGTCTCCAGTGTTGATAGCTGCATGGCTGGAAAAGGACAGAAACAATGTGGTCCAGACACCTGGAGAGCTGAAAATGAGTGCTGCTGTCAGGCTGTTCAGGAGGTTGCTTTCTGAACTTGAACTGCACACAAGTGCCAGAAAAGGAATTGTCTCAGCTGACTAAGCTTCTGTGCTTATTAAATAGGACACAAAAAAAGGAAAAGTAGAAAAGAGTGGGAAATGCAGTAAGGAATGAAAAAGCTACACAGCTGTGTTTTCCTGTTCCCATGAACTCAACAGCTGAGGTGGTTTTGTTTAGACAAAATAGTTTTCTTTATTTTCAATTTGTACCAATTTTTTAAAACTAATTGTATGAAATGGATTAAGGTGCAATTTTTTTCTTTATTTTTTACCTTAGTTATGGTGAGATTCATATTTGAAATCGAAAAACAGTGCTACAAATGAAAATCGCCCTTTCTGACCCAAGTACATCTTGATTAATCATCTTTTACTGTTTTTCTAGGACATTTCTCTGGAGCTGTCATGCCACTGACCCTCTGAACAAGCTGTTTCTGTCATAAAAAAGCCACTGCATGAAGGGATGAGGCAGAATTTGTAGCCTTGGGTATATTGGAGTGAGGAACCCAAATCCATGGCTGTATTGTGTGCTCTTGGCAGTTTTGAAAGGCCCCTTCTAAAGTAACTTTCAATGCAGATTTATGGGCATCACCTAACTTGCTAATTTTCATGGCTAGGTAATTTTTCAGCTGCCTGCTGTTTTCACTTTTCTCTAATATGAGAAGTGAAGCTTTTTTTTTCAGATTGCAATCCATGGTGATTACAGAGAGAAGAAAGAGTCAAGAGAGGGCAAATAAGGAGTGTGTTGCTCTAAGAGCTTCAAATCTTAGTTTTGACTCAGGCAGGACTTCAAAGGACCTGTCCCAAAGCAGCTGAAGGTTCGGAGACCCTTAGGGCAGGGAAGACTACCATGATTATCTAGATGTTCTACATGTTCTTCCTTCTCAAACAAGCCCTACCATTCCCCCACAGGGTATATTCAAACACGTTTTTATAGTTGGCAGAGCTGGGAATACAGCCCACTGGTGAAATCTGGCACACTGGCATATTGCCATTAAATATTAATTAAATTATTAATTAACTTCCCTCCAGGCCTGTAGCTCTGTTGCATCAGTCACAGGGCATTCTTTGGAAAGCCTCTCCCCAAGTCTCTTCTACTATGTCTGCCAGACCAGAATATGACACAGGGGACACCATGGTTGTAATCACACTGGAGAGACACTAGGAAAACTTTTTGGTGGAGTCACAGTTTATACTGACTAAATGAGCTCTTTTGCTTGGTGAAGGTTAAATATTTCCCTAAACTGCACAAGCTATACCAATAAAAGAAAAATTTACTGGTTAGAGTTTCACATACTTAAGCAAAGTTGCTGGCATAGCTGTATTGGAGTCGTATATTAGCTTTATTTTTGTTGTAGTCTTCGGATTGCTGTGTAATTGCACTGACAAACCATTTCATGGTACAGACAAGCCCTAACTTGCAGCCATTAATTTGTCTCAACAGCTCATTCACCTGTACTCCCTGTGCAATTTTTAAATCCAAATATAAAATTTCCTGTTTCACCCTGTCATTATGTTTTGTTTGTTTTCAGAGACATCTGAAGGAAAATAATTCTGAAATTAACTGGAAACAAGTAGGAAGCTGTGTCCTTCACACATCAAGATTGACCACAACTGTAAGAAAAAGCTGCTCATGAAAGTGTCCTTCTTGACTCATGGAGAGCATACAAGGCTGTAATTTAGCTATAATAATCCCCTGTGAAACTAAACTGCTTACTTGTCCTAAATAAGAAGTCAAACCAGCTAATGTCTCATGACCCTTTGAAGGGACAAAGCTCTTCTGTACATATTTATTAGTGAATTCAGAGAACGATGCCAAGTCCAATCCTTCATTCTTATTTGCACCTGAAATTCCAGTTATTTCCTGAACTTCTGTAGGGCATATGCAAAAGAAAATTCCTTACTGAAACAGCTTCATAGTTGCTTCCTCTGGGTTTTGGTTTTGGGTTTTTGTTGTTTTTCTTTTTGAGAAGAAAAGGGTAATGAAGGATTATCTAAGGTGGACATTCATTTCTTTAGCCAGTTTTATGTGCTTCAGGTTAAGGCTCAAACTGGAAATGACCAGATTCTGTCACTTTTTCACATGATGAAAAAAGCACAAGTAGTACCATTGCACAACATGTAATTTGCCCTGGAAAGCAAAGTCACTTCTCTCACAAGGCCTGGGAGTGCCTAAATTGTGTAGCATTGCCATCTTTATAACCCTTTGTACTGCTAATATCCAGAATCACACTAAAGTTATTATATTCAGCAATTTGCTGAAACTGCAGTCACAAAGAATTTGTGTCCACACCATCCCTATCCCACCCAGGATAGCTGCATAACCCTCTGGCAATAATTTGACTTCCAGGGAAAAATATTAAGAACTGATATCTAAACACATAGTTGATGTGCCAGGGATTTTCAGAGTCAACAGCAGCTTGATCAGAGTGGGATATCCAGAAATCAGCAGGGTGAAGAAATCAGCAGAGTGGAGAAAGGGAATGTGTTTAGAAAGCCTGGACATACCCTATTTCTGGTTCTACTGGGGAGTTAAAAAGCAGAAACTCCAAAAATGCCTTAGTATACTTTAAAGGAAAAGTCTTTTCAAGTAGACAGTAAAGTGTCTTCAGACTTGTCTATTAACATTCTACTGAATGAATAATTTTCACTAACACAAATTAATTTAGGATTTCTTAATATTGTCTCACATTAATTTATTCAAGATAAATGTTCATCCTCATTAAAATCAGTTACAATTTAAGTATTAATAATATTGCTTAGAGTACTTTGATTCCATGCATATGTAGCATACAATGTTTTGCATATCTGGTTAATATGGCTTGCAGGTGTGTACAAAAGTGGCTGTCACATCACTTGTGGGTATTTTAAATAAATATCAAGCATTTAAAAAAAAAAATCTGTATGTCTCTTTTGGCAGCTCAAAATAGTCCCATTTGTTTCAGCAGCCTGGTATTTGAATAAAAGCGNTTTTTTTTTTTTTTTTTTTTTTTTTTTTTTTTTTTTTTTTTTTTTTTTTTTTTTTTTTTTTTTTTTTTACTTTACTACTGAATGTGATGTCATCTGCTGGATTTCTGAAAGTTATGATATGTTACTACCATGATTTCCTTCAGTAAAGTACTAGGTATCTGTAGAAGAAAGGAGGAGAGGAAAGCCAACAACCTTCTGGGCTGTGGTGGCAGGATGTGCCAGCAGGTAGAGGGAGGTCATTCTTCTCTCTGCTCAGCACTGGTGAGGCCACATCTGGACTGCTGTGTCAGTTCTGGGCTCCCTGGTGCAAGAAAGATGCAGACATATTGCAGTGAGTCCTACAAAAGCCCATAAGGATGGGCTTGAGGACATGGAGATTCTGACATACAAGGAGAAACTGAGTTGCTGTAAGTGTTAGGATGGGTGCGAACAAAGTGGGTGCAGTAACTGTCCCAACAAATATAAGATTCTTTCAGATATTCTACACTGACATTTGGGATCTAGTGAAAAAAACCCAAAGGCTTATCAGCCGTTCCTGGAAATTCTTATCTTTAAAATGCTTCCAAAGAAGCAATTTCTCTTCTTTGTATAGATCTTCTCATATAAGGAGCCTGGCTCTGTCACCCTTGTCATGTGATGCAATTCTGTCTTGTGTATTCAGCCTCACTGAATTGAATGAGTTTCAGTCTTCTGAGTAAAGGTGGCAGTTTAATGAACTCTGTAAATATATAAGTAGAAGAGATGTTTCCCACATCTTTTCCTCAGGCATGTGAGCCAATATCATGTCCTATGACAGAAATGGGAACTATCCTGGCTGTTCAGTTTACATGACACAGTGGGAAAATGCCATTTGCATTCAGTTCTGGATGGAAGAGAGAACATGGTGCTCTCTTGTGCTGTGAAGAAAGGATATCCACTCTTGCTGGGGAAAGCAGAGGAGAAGAAGGAGGCATGAAGTAAGATCCTAATAAAAGGTTTGTGTTCAATATTAAAGACCTAATAAGTATTGTGGCTCCCTTATGGCATACAGATGACCACAGTGATTTCATACTGTTTGCTAATACATGTTTGACAAAGCTATAATATCATGGCAATCCTTGGGGGACACGGTTATCGCTCCTGGACATTAATGCTCAAGAAGACTGCATTCAGGAAGGGAAAGCCATATTTAGCTGAGCACAGACCACAATTGCTATGCCTGAAGAGAATACAAGTGTATTTAAATAATAAGGTATTTGCTTTGCAAAAGATTGGCATAAGCTTTTGCACAGACTTGTTAGCTTAAAGGCTTATCTCTTTTAATGCTAAGAAGTACTTCCAGTGCGTTCTCACTGAGGACCTGATCAGAAGCAGCTGTTTCCACAGCACTCCATGTGTTCATAAGCCCTTAGTGAGACAGAATTTTCTGTTTGGATGATCAACATGCACATTTTTGTATATATTCAGCCTTTGTGCCTGGGAAGATAAGAAGAATCTTCTCCCTGCATTATTCTTTAAGCTCCAAAAAACTCTTTTGTTTACATGACACGTCAGAGGAACACTTATCTACCACAATGCTCCCAATATGAAACCACTGTTTATTCACTTAACACATATCTTTTCTACCACTTCTAAGACTGTCCAGGTGTTTTCCTTACATTTTTAGACTTTGATGCACCTTTACCATATAAATTTTCAACTTGCTGAAACCATGTTAAAATTGAAACTCTCTAAAGATAATGTTCTCTTGCTTTTACTTCATGTATTAGTGGCACGTTTTGCTGTTCGGTTTTTTTTTCATTTTCCTCCCTTGTTTTCTTAATGTATCCATGTGCTGGGAATATTCTTGTGCTTCACAATAATAAATCTCTTTGATAAACTTACTCTGTATCTTTTATTGGGTTTTTGTATTTTCTAAGATAACCTTTCACAACTCTTTTCTCTGGGACTGATAAACCATGTGGGCTTGATCTAAGTGCAGACTGCCAGCTACTGGCAGGCTGAGTATAAGGAGAGATTAGCCTTTGCCCTGCTTTTGCTGCTCTTGCCCCAGTCCACTGCTGCCATCTCTGTCCAGAGCAGGGGTACCAGGATGAATAGCTCAGTCTGACCATTTTAATTTTCTCATGTAACTTTAAATCTCTCATATTTGTTAACATCTGGGTGTATGTAGAAACAGTTGCACGATGTGTCAAAGGTTGCTTCCACCCGGATCTAAGAAATGCCTGTACATCCATGTGACTTATCCCCATGTCTCTGTGACATTGTCCCTGAGGCTCTGGATAGAGCAGTGCTGGCAAACAGAGGCTCAGGCCAGCCTCAGAAAGCAGTACCTCTTTCCAGGGCAGCCTCAGATGTTATGATCTTCCTTTCTTGCAAATATACCACCCTTCTGTAATTCCTCTGGTCTTCAGGGTGCAGAGGAAGGATCTGAGCAGGGCTCAGTATTGCCCAACATTAGGGCATTGCAGTTACTTTGTCAGCAAAAAGACTGTTTTCCTTTATCCCTCTTATTTCTGTTGCCTGCTTTCTTAGGTTCAGTGATCACATCTGTTAGTATTTTGGGACTTAATGTCACACAAAAGGAGAGTTAGAAAGAGCCTTTTTTTCTGAAATGACTTTACTAGTCCAGAAGCTTGGTTTATACTGCCACTATCTGTCCACCATACCTGCTGCAGTCCTTTGCTGCAAACACACACACAAACAGTTCATGCAAATTTTCCCACAGCTACAAACAGGTTGCAAAAGGAAGTGAGGGATATTAAGGATTTTATTTTATTGCTCTTTATATCCTGGAGAGTTTGATTAGGCATTCATCAGTTAAAAACCATTTTTAAATTATCGTGTTTTTTCTAGACACGTATTAAGTAGGTATAAAGGTCTTCTAACAAATCTTTACATGATTCTGTCTCCATTCCTCATCCTTTAAACCCCATTTTGAGCCACTGTCAATTCTTCCCAACTGAGCAGCCCTTTCCAGCTGATGCAGTTAGGCAGGTCTGCAGCCCCAGGCTCCTAGGGATCCTTGACAGCCCCTGCCTGCGGCAGTTTGTGCCATGCACATTGTTCTCCAAACACCTCATGGCCATTATGTCTCATTGTAAAAAATATAATTAAATCCAAAATCGCTTAAACTCAAATCTACCAGCATATTCATTTTTTTTAATTCTATCAAAACCAGAGAGGCAATGTGCTCCTCCTGAGGTTACTGAGGTTGGGGTGACGGAAATGTTATAATAGGTCTCCATCATCTTGAATCTCACTGTCTTTGGTAGCAGGAACTGAAGGTCCACAGCCTCCAACACCCTGCTGAGAGGGGCAGATAAAATGCCTTTGTCAGAGAAAGTAACTGAACAATTTGGGTTTGTGAAATGCAGAGGGGTTTTTAATGTTGTGCACAACAGTTAAAATACTTTATTAGGTTAGCTTTGTGTCTGTCAAAATCCAAATCTACATCTTCTGCTTCCTTGCAAAACCTCCTATCTGCCATATTAGAGGCTGCCTCAGGCAAGAATGTTTTTCTCTCCACACTTGCCAGGTGTGAGTTTTCCCACCAGAAAAAAAGTACTTTACTATTCATTAGAGAGCGTAGGCTGGAAAGGAACGCCCAATTCTCCACAGATTAGGATCATAGGGAAGGGAAAACCTAGAAGTCCAATTCCTACTTGAAAGAAAAAGAAGAGTTTTTTGGCATCTTTACTAATGACTACCTTGGGTGTTTGCCCTGTAAGTTCCATGTCTTGATGCCTAAGAAAGATAAAGAAGTGCCTGCTGACGTCTGTCTGCTGTTCTGCGAAGATGCACGTACCCTTCCTAGAGATGGACAAGGTTGCCATTGCCCTTGTGAAGAATAGGTGGAGAGGTCAGCCCTTACATACTTCTGTGATGTCAGTTTAGGACAGTATTTGGTAAGGCACAGCAGCTGTATGCCCAGTTGCAGTTGTGTGGGCAAGAACCTCACCTCTGACCATTCCTCAGAAATGTGATCACTCCTGTAGCAAAGGCACGGAAAACTGAACAGTGCTCAGAAATAAGAAGCTGACCTGCCTGAAATGAGCTGTGGAGAAGGGACTGCACAGTATTCAGCACTACTGCCTAAGTTTTGAG